GCAAATAAAATCCATGCTCCCTCCAGGAGCAGGAAGGTAGACTTCTCTCCCTACACAATACTTAGGAAAATATTTTCTATGCATAAATAACTATAATTCTCCTTTAGTCAAGACTTGCACTTGCAAATAAACTCTTTTCAAATGGCATTTTTGCAGCTAGTGAGACCAAAAATTTATAAAAATACTGCAAGAAAAGGCAGATATACAAAACTCTTCTAAGGTTTAAACATGACCTGAAATTTAAAAACCATTGAATGGTTCCCTCTGCCAGTTCCAAAGCCCTGAGAAATGCCTCTACATTGAAAATCACATTTCAATACACCCAGGCAGAAGGTAAAGACCTCAAATGCAGGGACACCCACCAAAGCTCCTAGAAATCTTCCCTGGGGGTTATCTGTGAGAGCCCCCTGCTTCTGAGCACATCTGGATATGAATGTACATTTTCCTGCAGAACTGAAGACACTCGCCCATCCCAAGCTCCAAAACCAAAACCAGGCTTTCCTGGAAAGGCCATCTCCAGCCACCTGAAGGGAATTCCTGTTCCTGGGGAAGAGTTTTACAGTGACTGCTGGGAGCCAGAGAGGAGTTTGAGAAGAGGATCCATGCTCACCCCGAAAGAATTCCCTACCAAGGTCATTGACACAGAAATCAAGAAAGGAAGAAGGAGAAATAAGAGAAACCTGCCTGTTCCAGTGAGCTCTTTGTTTTTGTGACCAATAAGTGTAAACTGAAGAGTTTTGTAATTCCGTATAAAAAGCATGCAGGCTTTAAATAAAACCAGTTTGAAGCCTTCTGAAAATGGGTTGTGATTGTCTCAGCTAGGACAGCTCCCTGAGGAGCCAGGAGGAAATCCCAGGGGCTGGGAGATGCCAGAGAGCTCCTGCCATTCCCACTGCCCCTGGGGCTCTGGAGTTGCTGTCCTGGCACTGACAGGAGCACAGCTCCCACCCTCCAGGCTGCTCAGATCCTTTGGGAGCAAAGCATCAAGGCTTTGGGAATGTTCCTCTTTCCCCAGGGGCTGCTCTGAGAGACTCTGCAGTGCAGCTCCCAGAGGAGAATGAGCAGCTGACTTTAATCTGAGCATCCCCACTGCATCCAAGCCCCCAGACCTGTCCCCAGATCATTTCTGTACAACTGAAGTGCACCAAGTGAGGAAATGAACCCCTCGTGTTTCGGTGTGAGGCTGTAATGGTTGTTAGAACTGGGAGCACAAATGCACGTCAAGAGAGGATCCATGCCTGTCAGGAAGGCAGCTCTTTTATTCCATGAAAAGGATTCTCTTCTAATGAATGGTGTTCCTTACTGGAAATTAAAATTAGTTCACAAATTGCTGCTGTTCCATTTAATGATAAGATGAATGCACAGTGCTTTGAATTTTTTTTATCTGCAGTAATTTTTGCTCTTTCATTCATCATTCCCTTAATTTTGCAATTCTTTTAAAAAAAAGCTTTGAATTCTTCACATGTATGCAATCAGTTAGAAAACCCACGTGGCAGCATTGATTGCTCTGGTAGGCAAAAGATTTCAATAAGTTTAGGCATGTTAATGTCTCTTATTAGGGTAAATGATCAGCTGAAAAGCAGAAAAGCCACACAAGGTCTCCATTTATGAAGGACACATTGGAGGAATAAATTCATATCAGGTATTTTATAAAACATACACAGCCAAAGTTATTCCTGTGCAGGGAGCAGGATAACAAAAATCATGAACCCAGTGACCAAATATGTGCCCTTGGAACAGCATTCAAAGCTCCTGTTTATAGCAGGAGCTACATATATTATATATATTTCTAGAGGAATTAATTACTTTCCAGAGGAATAAACTTTAGTTTGTGTGTGTGTTGGAAGAGAGAAAGAAATTATATTTATTATTCATGTATTTATAGTTTTAAATCAATATGAATGTTAACTCAGTACAACTTTCCATTTGTTCCTTCTGAAATTGCTTTTCAATTCAGTTGTTTTTAATCTTTGTTAATAACATTTCCATTTGAAGTCCATGAATGAGAATACCCTTCTCAATCCCCAACTAGACACCCATGTTTTAACATCACTGAAATCACTGCACACACCTACAGCAAGCAAATATAAAATTCAGAGTTCTGCACTTTGGAAAAATCTTCAATTAGAGGCACAGACACTGAAATAAAACAAGGAGTGAAAGCCAGACTTAGTCTGTAATTACTTTTCTAAACTGTTGAATCAGACTCCCCAGTGCTGCATGCAGCAGGGCTAATTATAAAAGGAACCTCTCCCACTTAAAGCTGAATTATTTACAAATTGATCTTCAGGTAAAATACAATTCCAGTCACGGATCAGATCATGGAAAAGTTGTTTCAGGAATCACACCTAAGTTATTTAATATAGCAAGAAATTCACAGAAGGACTATTTTAATCCCTTTATTTTCTTCAGTCATACTGCAGTGAGATGAATAACTGTATGTGCTAAATAAAAAACTGATTAAGTGAAGAGAAAAATTATCGTGCTTAGAAAATCAGCAAGAAAAAAAAATGCAAAATGAAAATGCAGCTAGAATTTCTATTCATCTTTTTGTCACTCACAGCACCAAAAGCTTATTTGTTAAAAAAAGTTGGAAAAACTAAAATGACTCAAATTGTTTGACACAATTTGCTTCTGTATTTTGAATATTAATTTCATTATTACAAATTCATATTATGACTGGTATTTTTCTTGTCACTGGCCTCCTACATGAATCTGATACTCCGAGCAGTATCTATCACTCTCCCATCCTCTGAATAAAGTCTCATCCACAACTACTGGTAAATAACTTTGTTTATGACAGGAATGAGAAACTGTGCCTTGAATATTATAATTGCTGCATCCCAAAACTCTACTGAGACATTTCAAGTTTTCTCAAACACTCAGAGAGATGTGTGGCCTGAAATTCTGTAACTTTCTAATCTCAGGATGTGCCATCACTAACAAATCTTCAGGCAGCTGAGGAAATCAAAGAAATACATACTGCAGACAAGGGTGTCATTCTTACACCCTCCAAAATGATTCTCCAATCTAATAAAAAACATGGGAGTGTAGAAAGCCTCAACATATTCAGCGATAAGCAGAAACAAACTGGATCCCTTGATCCGAGGGGAGATGACTTTTGAAAAGAGAAGCAGAGCACTTATCAGGTCATCTGTTCATTATGCAGACACAAATCCCCAGGTGCAGCCAGCCCCTGCCTTGCAGCCTTATCTCTGCTCCAGCCCCCCAGTGCCAGGGCTGATAACAGCAGGGAGGCATGCACAGCTCTGGGGGCAGCTCCAGGGGCTGGAATTACCTGGAATCAACAAGCCAGGCTGCCCAGGATCCTGGGAATAATTCACTTTCAATCATTCCATAGGCTCCTCCTATTTCTGCCAACACAAAGAAACATTAGTACTTTTTTTTTAAACTCTTTTGCATTCAAACTTTTTCTTCTCTACGAAATTCAGGTGACATGCTGCAGAGAGAAAAATGTTAAATATTATCTACTTGGCTCTTTTTCCTCACCAAACCATCTGAGTGATGCTAATCATGTCTGTAAGTAAACACATAGGCAGTAAAACAAAAATACAACTGAACAATCATTTCTGTAACCTGGAAAGCAGAGCTGTCAAATTTAACAAGAAAAAAAAAAAAAAAAAAACAGTGGTAAAGGTGCATTTCATAAATTGGTTTAATTGCTGAACAACAGTGGGGCCAGCATGACAGAATTCAGCCTCTGATGGGGTGACAAGGCACAGAACAATTACAGGGCAATATTGAAAGATTTTCTGATGTGAATGAAGCTCAGAGAAATAATAATGAGCTTTGTTTAATAGCAGAACTGATAAAAGTGATTATCAGCAACTCTCTGAACCTTGCATGTAAGACAAGGTGCAAGGGAAGATGGAAGGAATAAAAAACAATTTTCAACTTAGTCAGGAGTTGTCTCCCTTAAGCTACTTTCAGCAGCCTTGTCAGAAACTTAAAATAAATCCATACAGAGGAGATGTTAAATATCTACTTGCGAAATTCTGTCACTGACTCCATTCAGATGGTAAATCCTGCAAAAAACTGACTTTGCACAGACACAGCAGAGGGGAGAAATCTTCATTACAGCCACCTACCAAACGTGCTGAGCGGCTGTGAATGGATCTGAACATCAATCCCCTCCTTTTTCTTTCCTCTGAAAACACCAAACCCACGAGTTCTGCCACGACTTCTGTGGCAGCAGAAAGGAGAGATCCCACAGGAATATCTGAGCTTCTAGAAATGCACAAAATGCCCTGGACCTGGCACCCCACTCCAAATGCTCTCATATTTCCACACAGAGCTGGGATCTGAGCACAATAAAAACCTGGGGATTTCTTTTTTTTTTTAAGAGCTTTTTCTCAGTTTTTTCTGCATTTCTGTGAGCTTCTTGTATCTTCAGTAGACTTGTTACTTTAAAGTTTTGAAGAAAAGGAAAGCTGGATATACAAAAACAAGCTAGACAGACATCATAATAAAGTCCCTCCCAGATTTTACTTAAAGAATCCACAGTTTCTATTCTCTACAGAAATTAAAGGATATAACACTTCAGAATGAAAGCAAAAGTAAATATTCCTCTAAAATGTAAAAAATGTAACTTAAAACCATTAGCAGAATTAATACTCCGCCCTTCAAAAACCACCACATCTGGAGCTAAAATAATAAATATATCAACTTTACTGCTGGTATTTTTCTAAAATTGATTCAATAATTCTTCTCAGACAGAAAAAAAAATCCCCATACTGAGTTTATGGCTGCTCAGTGCAACTACTTCCTCCAGGAAAGCTGTCTGGGCACCCCTAGAAAATCTGATTATTGATGCTCTCTGTTCTCTGCTTGCTTACATTCACCACGTCCACTGATGCCTTTGCTCTGCTCTAGAAGAAATGCACGAAAAGAGAATTAAACCCCATTTTGAAGCGCTGCAAAGACCCCAGCAGAGGATCAGAATAACCAGAATAACCAGTGGGGACGTGCCAAAAGGATATGCTCATCTTCTCCACAAACTTGTCGTGCTCGTCCTGGCTTTTAGGGAAGTTCTCAATGTCCTTCTCCAGGCGCTGGATCTGCTGGTTCATGGAGTCCAGGTTGCTCTTCAGAGTCTGGGCTGAAACTAAGGGAAAAAAGAGTTTAAAAATTGATTCCAGAAAGGGTGTCAGAAGAGGAAAAAACAATGGCAGTATAAATAGTCTGCAAGAGAATGATTCCATTAAGTAGATTCATATTTTTCTGAATTACAGCTCATAAAAAATCCTTCCCTTCATAAAAATAAATTGAAAATATCTACTGTAATATACCAGATCATCGTATTTAACATTGAAATGTCACCACTTAACTCTACCATTAGTTCAAATTATTAAATTTCTATTTAAATTTATGGTAAAAATTCCAATATTTCTAATATTATTATTTCTAATATTCTTTTAAATCTAATTCAAAGATTAAAAACTAACTAGAGTTCAAAGAGATTTCATCTTCTTAATGCATGTACTTGGTTAAATGAATGATCTTATTAAGGCACATTTCTGTTACAGGAATGATTTAAAGAATAGACACGGGGGAAAAAAATTAAATATTTTTTCTTATATTGAAGTGACATTCATTTCTGGGCCCAGAGCTGTGTTAATAGCAAAGGTAGGTGTGAATAATAAAAGCTGCTGATAATCAAAAGGAAGTAAAGGATTCAGAGTGGAGCACACTAATTAAAAAAAAAAAAGAGGGGACTGTAAAGAACTCCTCTTGCTGTGTGACAAGCTATTCTAATGAACAGCACTGTGATGCCAATTTGGATTAAACAACCCCTAACTGATGCACCCTGTGAGCAAAAAATGACTGAAGCAACCCCACAGCACAAAAAATTCCAGACCTGGAGGAAAAGCGACAGAGCCTCTGCAGAGAAATTCCTGGTCCAGATGGAGAGTGAAAACAATCTGAGCTGGAAATAGTGACTTCTATGGCACAAGCCATGAGAACCTCTTGTCAGGCTGGTTTTTATCCCAGAGAACAACTGGCCAAGCACTCCTCTCCAGTCAAAGCTGCCTTTTGGAACCCCGGGCTCTCTCCCATTCTTTGTCTCCTCTTGCACAGCTCTCATCTCAGTTCTCTTAAGGAAAAGCAGAGAATCCCAAGATCCCTTTGCCCCAGTGCAGCCAAAAAAAGCAAACAACTCCTTTTTTTTTTAAGGAGTTATTATCTGTTGCTGGAAAGCAGTTCGCCCAAAAGTTCCACTAAGTATTTTCTAAAGAACCGATTATTTTTCTATTTTCTTAGAAATAATAAAAAAAAAAAAAGTCATGACTACATGAGATTAAAGAAGGAAATTGAGTCACGATGGCCTGAAAAACAGCACATAGGAATTAAAAATCTGGTAAATAAGGGAGCTGTTCCCAGAGGAAAATCAATTTTCTATTCTTTCCAAGCAAGGACTCCCATCAGCCGTAACACCGATTTCACGAGCGTGTTCAAATACATATGGCACCAATAGAGCTGTCTTTATAGCAGCCATTATCTTGATTTTATTTTCAATTTTATCCATTTTATACTGGGTACCAAAGGAACTAATAATCATGTAATCCTAGAATTATAGTGGAAGTTTTTTAAGCTTAACTCAAGTGGGGTGGGAATCTATATTGACCACAGAAACCTTGTAGCTTTTAAATTCACATTTGAGAGCTAACCTTGAAATCAACCACTAAACCACTCTGAATAACATAAATTATCAAAGCCTTTAGGTTCTGCTTGCATTAGTTTTAATCGTTTGATATTATGATCAAAGCACCCATTTTTGCTTGAACTGAACAACTTGAATTACTGTAATATTTTTATGGGCTGTTGTGGAGTTGCAGAGGGGGACAAACAGCACCAAAGGAAAATGCTGGAACTGAAAAATAAATGAGGAGGATGCAAATGGTCATTCTGCTCATAGAAAGAATAGCAGCTGGTAAGAAAATAAGCAACATAACACAAACTTTAACTGCTTGCAACAATTTGAAAATATTTAAATGCACGACCACGGAGCAAAAGTTTATTTTTGTCTGGAATTCAAAAGCGCCAAGAAATTCAGCAAGCAATGACAAATAACTGTTGAACTGTGTGATTAAGATGGATGGAAAGTGTTTTCACTTCTACAAAACTAAGTTCAGAAAGCCCCAGATCAGATCAGCCTTTGAAAGCAGGGAGGAACTCTATCCAAGCAAGAAGGCTGCATCCTCCTAAAGCTGTGCTTCCCATAATTAACTTCTCTATTCACACTCAATTAACAAAAAAAGTTGTAGAATATGCAATTCTGTTCACTTTCCCCCGCCCTTGCCCAGGCAAATGTACAAGTTTCTGCTCAAATAATTTATGCAGTTGTTGTTCTGCAAGACAAATTTCAAAAGATGACAGAACAGGGAACATATATATATATAGACTATAATAAAATATCTGCATTTCCTCCCATAAACCCTTTTATTAGAGATTTACTACTTCAGTAATGTGCAAAGGAATCAACATGAATACCTTCTACTTTCAGGGAAATTCATGTAAATTTCTTCAAACTCTTGCAAGGTTTTAATTTATGAAAGCATAAATTCTACTTGCAGCACAAAGCCATTTCCTTGAAACCATTTGAAACTGCACATCCTGAACAGCCTGTCCCCTGCACTCCTCAAAGACAGAGCCTTGTTCACCTTCCATTTGCCCATCACTCCACAGGAAAATTAGGCATTTAATAGAACTGGTCTCAAAAATGGACACGAAAGGCAGCGTTTGGCCTTCAGCAGCAAGGGCTCTTACTGGCAAAGCCTCTCTGGAGCAGCCATTCCAATATTATTCCACTTAATGTTGCAGCAAGAGAGACCAACCAACTAAATCCAATACTTAAATAACTAATGTCAAGGTAGGAACAGGAGGAAAGTGCAGAAAATGAGGAAAACGTGAAGAAAAAAAAAAACCTCAGCAGCAAAAGTCACCAGAAAAATGCCTTGTGTGTAACCCCCAGACAGACAAGGGTGAGCAGACCCCCCAAAAAAAGGGAAGCAACCTAAAGGATGCCTGGCCATTTATTTCTTTGCATTAGCAAGGATAAAAGGTTGGCCACATTTCCAAAGGAAAAGAAATTAGCAGCAGTGAAGAACCCACCTCACCCAGTCCCTTGAGGACTCCCACCCATGCTGGAAAGGCAGCACCCAAGAAATGGGAAAGCTAGAGAATTCCAAAGTCAGACTAATTTGCTGACACGGGGAACAGAGAAGACAGAGCATAAATGAGTTCAGGAAGAAATGGTGTGGATTCTTGGGCAGCAGGTTCAGAAGGAAGTCAAAGGTCAAAAGCAGGGAGGGAATTTTTCAAGTCTCTCTGAACAAGTGCAGATGTGGGGAAATAGCCTGGAGGAACTTCAGGGTTGTCCCTAAACAGCCTAAAAACCCACGTAAACCCCAAAAACTACATATGGACCAATCCTCATGGCCAAAGAGAGGAAAAAAGCAGCAAAATTTCTCAGTCTGTGCCAAATTGTGCCAGTCTGGCTCTCAGTTTAGCCCTAAGGAGAGGTTGGCTTGCAGAGAGCTCCGAGGTGGACAGAAATGCAGCACCTTGAATGTGAGGACCTCAAACCCCGGTGATAAAAGGATTTGTGAGACAAAGAACAAAGCCATTAGCAGAAGTTAAACTTGTGTTTCAACTCACTGCAGAATCACTGTAACATCCAGAGCTAACAGGAACAAGGTGAAGGGAAGAGTGATGTATTGTCCAGGTGATTCCTGCCAGGGGCAGAGCAATGCACTCAGATCCATCAGGATTGTCTCTGCACAAATACTGAATGCAACCCACTTAATCATGCATCATTAAATCTTGGACTGATTAAAAGATTATTTTGTATATTATTATTTAATTACAGCAGAAAATCACTGCCACTGCAGAGATAGCACAATATTATTCTGACATGGAAGGTAATAATTTCCTTCATCTTATTATTTTCCTTTTATTAATTGCTCCTCTGAAAAAAACCCTCAAACCAATCCTATCCACTTATTTTGGAGAAAGCATTGCACAGTCTGCACGCTAAGGAAGGCTTAGTGAGTGTCTGCTGGAGCAGTTCAGCCCCAGAAAAATGCTCCAAGCAGTTAATCTCATGCTGATGGAGAGCACTAGCTGGTCCCTGTAGCCAAGCTAAGCATTTTGTATTTACATTAATACAGCAACAGGACCAAAGGTCAGACTAATCCCTTCTAAAATAAGATTGCATCAGACTGAGAGTCCTCCCCACAACAAGAGGTGAAATGATACATTTTTATTAGGTGAAGTGCCTCTTGCAAGAGAAATTTAAATGGTCTCTGATCATGATGCAGACCTGGGATGGCCATGTCCACAGCTGGAAAACACTGAAATGAAAGCCAACAACATCAATTACTTCAGTAAGCAAAAGCAGGTCTGCACCAAGCAAATTAACTCGTGGATTTTTAAGTCTAGACAGTACTTGCACCATAACTACAATGTAAGCATACTAATGACTATTTATTTCTTATTGCTCGAGGGCAGATGGAAAGAGTTTTTCACAAAGGAATGAGAGGCAGTTTGGAGGGAAATGGGTGAGCAAGTACATAATCTGCAGGAATTACAAGCATTGATTACTCAATTCATACCAAGTAACTTTTTGTTTGTTAAGACAACAAATGTTTAAAGACCTCAGGGTCAAAGGGGAAGAATAGCTCCCACCTTACTCAGTTAGAGGAGCTGCCATCCTCCTCTTCCAAAAACTGGGAAAGTTTTCTGACACAAAGCCCTGGTGCTTAACAACTAACCCACCATGCAGAACAGACTTTCTCCCTGACACAATCTTTCCTGCACATTTTCAACTTTAGGAGCAGGAGCAGGTCTGCCCAAATGGCAATGCTGAGTTTATATCCCATTACTGTGTACTGGGAGTTGACCTGAGGAACATTCAAAGCAGAATTTTTAACAGACAGATTTCACTCGTGGATGTGCATTTGCACTTTTGATTTGCATGCTGAGATCTCCTTGCCCTGCAGAGGCTCTGCCTGCTCCCAGCACTGCAGGGGAAGGGGCAGAAGGCAGGGACACAGCAGTGCCCCACCTTTCCAGGCTGTGTCCCACCTTTCCAAGCTAACCTTC